GTTTTGTTGATTAGTTTTCTATATTTTTTTAAAATATCAATAAATAATAAATAAGATAAAACATATGAAAATAGTGTAATTAGACACTTTGGTAAATAAAAAAAGAACATGTATATTTTTTATTGATTTGTATATTTATTTATTTATTAAACATTGATTCATACTGTTTCTTTTAATTAATATGTTTATATATTTATGATTATAAAAAAGAGGAAAAAAAGAGAATACTATAAGCAAAAATACCTTTAAAAATGTGTATACAGATCTACTTACAGACTATTCACTAGATATTATCTATTCTACCTGACCTTCTTTTCATGTAATAGTATATAAAACTTTATCTGCAAATGTGTATTTAGTTTCATAACATAATATCTGTCTGTTAATGTCTGTTTTTACGATATATCTATCAGGAATTTGGTATTAGATACCATTTTTATTTTTTTGTGTATATTTAACATTTTGTGGATAGTGTCCAAGTATTATTATTATCTTATATTTTGAATGAAAAATTTTACCATCACCAACATATTGAGCATATATATAAGGATTATTAGGATAATTCTCATAAAAAATTTTATTCATCTATTTGAATATTTTAATATTTAAATCATTAATAAATTCTTATATACATTATTTCGCATTTTTAAATATAAGAAAGTATACTTAAACATAAGGCAGTTAGAGTAAAATTTTTTATTTTTATTAAAAGTCTTCTTGTTCAAGTATAGATAACGAAAATAACAAAAAAATAAACTTTACAAAGTATTTCTTAATTCTGTGATGCAAACTAATTTATAATTTAAAACTCACAATTTCAATAGTAAAAATTTGTTATTTGAAGAAGCAATTAGTTCAAAGTTGAATTATCACTCATTTTAGTAGTACAAAATTAGCATTTTAGTACAGATCATAAACATCACATAAATTTACTTATCGGGCATTTACTATTTGATGATTTTTGTCAGTATAATTTGTTACTAAGCATTTATTATATTATTATGCATTATAGTATAAATAATAGATTTAATATAATAACTATCTATTTTATTTATTAAAAGTACAATTTTTATAATACTTTTTGATTACAATTACTTTCTGCTCATATTTTTCTTTTTATTCTTTATATCATTAGATTGTATAGAATTAAATTCTTGTAAAGGGCGTTTTATATTCTTTTGCATTAATTCTTTAGTAGTAATGAAATTGTTATAAACTGAATTATTATTTTCCTATATTTTTTTTTAAAAAAATAAAAAAAAAATATATTAAATATATTTAATAAAATTACAATTTTTTGAAAATAAAATTTACCTGAATATTATCATTATTTAAATTAGAATTATCAGATTCATTATTAGATATAGTAGTTAATCGAAAATATTTAAATCATTTTTATTTAATAATTAAAAATATAAATCATTTAAAAAATTAGTTTATTTTCATAGTAAATTTAATAAAAAGCTATTTATTGAAGGTGATAATAAAAGAAGTCTTTTAAGTCAATCAATTATGCTAGAAAGTGCTTCTTTTTTGTGATTATTATTTGATTTTGCATATGTACAATAACCTCCAACAGAGCAGTAACTAGTAATTGCTATACCAGTATTTTCAGAAATCTAAGATCAAATAATTCAATTATACTTGTTTTTCTTTCTGAATGATTACAAATATTTCTTCCTTTAATATCAATTTCACATTCAATACATAAGATTTTAAACATAAAACAAATGGTATGATTAGCTAACTGTTTATCTTTATACCACTTTTCTTGAGCTATAGCTAATAAATAAAATGTATATATAATATCAATAAAATATTATAAAAAATTTTTTAAAAAATATTACCATTAGTACTTCTATTAATTGAAAAAAAAAATATGAACATTTTTCTTTTGGAGGTTGAAGTGAAATAAATTTTTTAATATCATGATTTGAACTAGCAATTCCAGAGAAATGGAATATTCAAGTCAAACTGATTTCTATCAATTCCTCCTTGGTCATTTTTTTTGCTGACTTTTTGTAAAATAATTCCTTCTAAAATATCAATTATTTGGAAAGCTAGTAAATTAATATGTTCACCACCCCTTAAGGCATCCAATAAACAAATTCAAAAAAAAACTGATTTTAATAAACCTAAAGATGCATTGGAATTTAATACTTCATGATGAATAATTTGATGAATTTCATCAATTGATAATCTATCTATAACTTTTGTTTCACCAATACCTTTCTTTTTCATATCTTTAAGAAGACCATCAAAATGAACATATAAATCAGGAAAATCAACTTTGTTATGTAAATTATATTTTCAGCCTGATTTGACATCTTGCAGATGTCTACTAATAGCAGATAAAGCATTTTTTAAAGAAGTTCGCAAATAATGATTACCCTTTAAAGTAGTTACATCACAAAAAAATTGGGTAATTTGAAATTCAATAATATCTTTATTTTAACTTTCTAAAGGATAGTTATAACTAACATCTGCTCTCCATTTGTTCATTATTTTAATCCATTTTTCAGTATTATTAATTGTATTTTGAGAAACCCTTTCTTTAGCAAGTGCGGTAAGATAATCAATGGATGGTAAAAAATTTTCTTTTAGTATAATGTTTTGTGTTATATTTTTAAAAAAAGAATTTTAAAAATAAAATCTGGAAAAAAAAGTGAGGTTAAAAAAAGATAATTTAAAAAAAAAACCTTTTATATTGATTATTACGATTGTCATTATTAACGATCAACATCATTATTAATCTAATTATATTCTTTGCTATACTATAATTAAATTAGTATAATTTTTTTACTCAAATGTAATATATATACCTGATAAAACAGTTACTCAGCATTACATGCCTCATAACTGCTGCACTATCATGTCTTACAGGTATTTGCAATAAAAATATGATCAGTAAAATTTGCTGAGCGAAGCTTAGCAAAATTTTACCAATCATATTATTTATTGCAAATATCACAGTTACTCAGCATAAAATTCCAAGTAACTATTACTTATTGAAACGAGCACAATCAGCCTATATGAAAAAAATAGTTTATATTTTTTTTAATACAAAAAAAATACTTTTGAAAGAATTATAAGTTTAAAAGCAAAATTGTCTGTTTTTCAAGTAAGATCCACTAAAAGTTAATAAGAGTGATTAAGTTTTTATATTGATAAAATAATAGTCGTGTACTCAACGAATAATTGTATAAAAAAATCTTAAAAAAATATAATAAAGTTATACAGTTTGCTTATCAATGAAGTGTATAATTTCATATAAAAATCATTTAGCAAAATGATCGGCACTATATGTAATACCATTTGTTATTCAAAATTGGAGAAATGCGTTGTGATTGTTATAATGACTATCTGTATAATTTGTGTCACAAAAAGTCATCCAATAAATTTATCAAACTTAAAAATGAAATAAAAATTTTTCTAGTGTATATATTTAAAATATTTTAATGTAATTCGATAGACATTGACTGTTGCTATAAAATAACATTGAAATTATTTTGATTAGATATCTAGATCAACAGTTATTAATCAGCAAAGTTCGAGTACTTAAGTGAAAATAGATTTGAAATATATAACTCCAGCCAGAATTATACCAAATTTATAATGTAGGTCACTTATATAAATAGTTTAGATTGTATGTATGCATTGATCAACTGATCTTTTTTTTTTACCAATGGGGTACCTAAAATGATGAATCCAATAATGCCAAGAGATTGCAAAAAAAAAAAAGATTCAAATTGCAAAAAATCATGATGATACCGATTCAAATGATTCAAATAATATTTTAGACTTAAATAATGAGGTTAACATAGATGATGAAGTTGAATGGGTTGATGAGAATAAGACAAAGCAGCTTTTTTTTAGTTTTAACTAAAAATATAAAAGAACTAAAACTTTCTAAATATCTGTTAGTAAATATAGGAAACTCACAAATGACAAAATATCAACAAAAAGTCAAAGCATTGCAAAATTGAAAAAAAAATAGGCAAATCCTTTATCAAATATTAAATAATCACAATATTGGTAATTCTTCTGATGGTAATTTTGGTGATGGTTCTTCTGGTGGTAGAGATGGTTCTGGTGTTGATTTTGATGTAATTCTTCCAGTGGTAATTTTGGTGGTAGTTCTTCAGATGATGAAGATAGTTCCAATAATTTTAGTGGTGGTTTTTTTGGTGGAAATGGTTCCAATAGTGATGATACCAATAATGATGGCTCTAATAATGATGGTTCTGATGGTAATTCCAATGATGCTGATAAAATCATAAAAATGCACAATTTAATGCATTAATTAATATAATTGAAGATAAACTAAAACTTGAGAACAAACATTTAACTCTAGGATATAAGCTGTGGCTTAAAGCTGTTTAATATTATTTACAACTCCTTAATAAAAAACATGCAAAATTAAAAGTAAGTCAAACTATTGCGGATCTTTTAAATCGAGGAATATGGTTTGCTCACTGTATTAAAAGTTAGGCTAAAGCATTTATTGAATATGGTGATATTTCTAAAAGTAATCATGGAAAACATCTTAGGGGAAGCAGTATTTTTTGATGATGAGGATGTTCAATTAAAAGTAACATCATATTTATAACAACACAAATTTGATATAACAGTTCATAACTTTTGTGATTATATTTCCAATAAAATTTTACTCTCTATTGGTATAGAAGAAAAAACTAAAATCAGGTATTTATTTTATAACATTTGTATTTATAGATTACTTTCTTTTATTACTAAAAATCTTTACATTTTATAGTAAATCTACAGCAATCTGATGGTTAAAGAAAATGGGATTTATTTTTAGTCAATATACAAAAGGAATGTATATTGATGATTATGAAAGAGATGATGTTATTGCTTATCGAAAAGAATTTCTTGAAATCATGTCTGGTAACAAGTTTACTTTTATTTAATTAAATTAGACTATGTTATATTTTTATATTTATATTTTATGTATATAATTTTATAGTTATCAAAAGTTAATGCCAAAATTTATTGGTGATGAACTTGAAATTAGGATTGATCTGGAATTAGAAGGTGAACAACAAGTACATGTTCTTGTTTTTCATGATGAAACAACTTTTCAATCAAATGATAAACAAAAATCAGGTTGGAGACCTAAAAATGAACAACTTTTACAAAAGAAAAGTCAAGAGAGAACTATTCACATTAGTGATTTTTAACTGATATAATTGGAAGATTAAAATTAGATAAAGAAGAGGTTGATGATAAAATTTCAAATGAAACTTGTTTTATGATTAATCCTGAAAAAAATTTTGATAGATGGTGGAATATTGACCAATTAATAGATCAGGTATTTTTTTATTATAATAAATTAATACATGTTGAATTATTTAAAAAAACTAATATAACTTAATTGTAAATTATTAGCTATACCAAATTTTGAAAAAATACATTCAGGCATGATTGCTGTATTTGCTTTTGATAACTCTTCTAGTCATGTGAAACTAGCTGATGATATTCTTAATGCAGCAAATATGAATCTTAATCCTGGTGGTAAGCAACCAATTATTTGTGATACAATATTTAATGGTCAAGTTCAATTTATGGTATTTCCTTTGGATTATCCTAATGAAGCATTTCGCAGAAAACCTAAAAAGATGAAAATGATTTTACAAGAGCGTGGTTTGTGGGATTCTGGATTAAAAGCCTTTTGTGGTAAAAATTATATATCACTAGAAGATCCAAGATGTTGTGTACGTCATATTTTAGCTACTCAAGAAGATTTTTATAATCAAAAACTATTATTACAAGAAATTATTAAAGGATTGGAATATAAAGTAATTTTTTATCCAAAATTCCATTGTGAATTCAACTATATTGAGATGTATTAGGGAGCTTCAAACGATATATCCGGCAACATTGTAATTACACATGAAAAGGATTATAAGAAACTGTTCCAAAAGCATTGGATTCAGTTCCTTTAAGTCATATACGTAAATATGCTCAGAAATCAGCAAAATTTATGGAGTGTTATAGAAAAGGACTAACAGATTTACAAGCTGTATATGTTTTAAAAAAATATAAGTCACATCGAACTGTTCCAGACTTTGTTTTTGAAAATAGATGAATTAATAAAATAAAGTTTTTATTGATTATATTTGTCATGTGATTAAATATTAGCCAATCACAAATCAGTATTATGTTTATCACGTGATCACGTGATTATACAAATTTTTAAATTTGAAAAATAAATGACTTGATGACTTTTAATAAAACACACTATACTACGTTTTTTTTCCTGATACGAATAAAAATGTCTACTGATACTATCGAACTTTTCTGCCTGGTTCAAGGAAATACAGTTGCTCAAGCCTTTCCATTGAAAATCGACCAAAATGAGAGCATTGGTCAACTCAAGGAAGTTATTAAGGTGAAAAAAACGCCCGAGTTTAATTTCTTCGCTGCAGATCGGCTTTCGTTATGGAAGGTTCAAATTCGAGGTGATAGTGATGAGGAACTAAATAAACTTAAACTTCGTAAAGAGGATCAACTTCTTTCGACGAGGACAATTAGTAGCTACTTCACTGAAAAACCGCTTGAAGGGTACATTTACATCATTATCAAACCACCCACACCACATATTAAATTTGATTTTGTACGCAAGGTGGGACTTTTGAATGAAGGAGATAGTGTAGAATATCTAGAAAAAAATCTTTACTATGAAGCAACGTTACATGGAGGTTATCTTTGTAATGGATATGAAAAATATCATACATTTACAGAGTTTATACGAGCAGCAAAAAAATTAAAGAGAAGTGAACAAGTTTTCTCTTATTATTTTTATAATCTAAAAATTAACGGTATGGCTTATTCGGAAGTTTGCGATAAAATCTCTAAGTTGATTTATACTGAAGGTAACTTCTTCACATTGATCATTTTTTAATCGAAATAAGACTTATTTTGACGCTCAAATTGAGTTTTCTTAACAGATGATGATACAACCTTCGAAGAATTCATGGAACTTCCCATTACAAATACCATTGAAACGGTTCCTTGGAATGATAGTCTCGAGAGTCGCCTCTGCCAGCTCTATGCGAGGGACAACATTGTGGACATATTCTGGGGTCAAAACCTTAAAGAAGACGATGCAATTTGGCGTATTTACGTTGTTACTCGCAATCTCCTTCGTCAATGCGAAAAGATAGAGAAGATCGGAAATCAAGTAATTAACTTCATAGCAGTAGAAGAAGGGTTTGTCGGTGCCGTAATTCCACCACAAAACCCCCATGATCCGCTGCCAACCTGGAAGAAGACCCCAAAAAAATTACAAAAGGCTTTTGATGAAGCATTAGACAATGAACTGGGCCTATCATTCCGTAAAGTGCATTATAATTTAGTCGGCATGAGCACTGGCTATAAGCGAACCCAAGGCAAGTTTACTGAAGTCCCCGCTATCATACTATACGTTCGCCAGAAGGGGATTCTGCGTCGTGGATGTGTCAAATTTCCAGATGAGATTTGTGGATATCCAACAGATATTGTTGAGGCTTGCGTTGCGACTCCCTATGGTTTTGGTGCAAGTGCTTGTCAATCTTATCAGGAGAACGTTATGTTAGGGTCGAGTATAGGAATAATTGAATCTCAGGGGACGTCTGGAACTCTCAGTGCTGTCGTATATGATAAAATCTCGAGACAGATTGGTATCCTCTCATGTGAACATGTATGTAGGTTTAGCAATTCTAGCACTGGAAAGGGTGTTATAATTTATCAGCCCTCGCATAAAGATCTAGATAATTTGAAGGAATCGTTTGTTGAAATGGCAAGAGTAAATAAAACGTACATAAAAATTTCAGAAGAAATGTGTAACAAAATCGAAGAGGATAAAAAGATATCAGCCCTAGCGTGTTATGAGCGTGGTATCCGAGACAACTTTTTCTCTAAAATACATGAAAAGTACTTTGGCATCGATGCTGCATTTTGTATTTCCAGTAACATCAATCGTAAATTATGCCCAAACAAATTTTCAATTTCCCCAGAGGACTTCAAAAAAGAACAACTTTCTGAAGACACCTGTCTAAATGACTTTTACGAATTTGAAGAATTTGATGACGTTTTTGATATCGATGTCTTTAAAGTAGGAAAGGCTACAGGTCTTACTTTTGGAAAATTGGTCCCTATTTATTCTGCTGTTTCCATTGATCTAAGAAACAATAACATTGAATACGCAAAAAAGCAAGGAGAAATCCACCCTTATAGTAACGACGTGGACAAAGGAATATTCATTGGTTATATGAAGACGCCCTTGGTCGAAAAAATCAATGTAATGCGCCAGCAATGTTATCCTACTGTGTGGTTTGATCGACAATTAATATTCGAATTCAAACCTGGAGACTTCGTACCCGGAGACTCGGGAGCAAGTGTTGTGAACAAAGAAGGAAAGGCTCTTGGCATCCTTCATGCGGCATGGATTACAGAAAATTCCAGTTACGCCATTGCTTCTCCTTACTTTGCTGTTTTTGAAGCATTGGACGTGGTAAAGCATGTCTAGCTTCAGATCGGAATAGATCGCATACTGAATCTAAATTAGTTCACCCACACTTGATTATTTAATAAATGTGGTGCGAGTGTATGTGTGGTATACTGTATACTGTATGTATTGGATTAATAAAAAATAATTGATTTTTTCTTGTTGGATTTGATTCAATGAAAGCCAGAATAACCTAACTATTTAGCATCATCATGCGACGTTTTTATTTCATAACTAGCCAGTATTGGGGCTCCCTAAGGAACCACCCCTTCTTGTGATACACATCATATTGGTAAACGGTAAGTCGTGATCTGTCGATTAATAATCATCATTTGTTTTTTTTGTTAGAATCAGATTAAATATTCTTATCATTTTTATCTCGTGAGTTTCTTATTATCTTAATAGACAAAGTCGGAATACAAACATTTTAATATAAACGTAATAGATTTTTAAGTGGTCCAAAACTAATTCTATTTCTTTTATATATGGGTCATTTTTTTTTATAATGATCAATTAAGGGCATTTTATGTTTTGATTGTTGATATCTTATCATATTACATGAACATTTCATTTACTTAATTAAATATTGTAATATATTTTTTTATGTTTATTTATTAATTAAATCGAATGTAAGGTTAAAAATTGGCATGTAGCAAATTTTATTGAGATTAGAGATATGTTACATAAAATAAAGAAGAATGAAATTATATAATAAAGTATTACTATTAAGATCCAACATATGTATATAATTGGGTGATCTATAAGACATTTATAATTTTTATAGGTTGATTATAATGATCAGTTTATATGAAGTTTGTTTCAAGATCATATGAGCTTAAGATTTGATAAATTCAAATTTTAGAAAATAAGAATGAGTTTTTTTAGAAATTATATATTTTAATTTTTATTTTGTATTTTAGGATATTATTTAAATTGTTTGTGTATATAGAAAATAATTAGGGATAATTTAATATGTATATATAACATATTTAATAATTATTATAAAAATGGTACACAATAAAAGAATATAGAATTAATTTGATATAGTTTTGTGATTTTTAATATCTAGGAAAGTTTAGGTTTGATTGTGATATGCGTTGAAGTCTTTGATATTCTTTAATCATTCTTTGATCTGTCATGAAGGCTGATATGTCAAGGTGTGATATATTAACATTTTTCCATGTAGAACATCTGCTAAGTGCAACATATGCTTATCCTGATGCAAAAATGTTTTGATTTAATGCGAGAGAGACTTTTGGTAATGTTAAACTTTGGGTTTTATGTACTGTGAGAGCGAAAGAATTCTGAAGTAAATATTGTGTATATTTACAATTATTTTCATGTAATTCAAAATAATGTGTTTTTTTATAAATCGTAGTATCTATAATAGAACCCCTGACTGAAAAAGCAACACATACATTTTTATTTTCAATATCAAGATTTGTAATTATACCAACAGTACCATTGCAAATTTCTTGTTGCATCAAGGAGTTGTCTAAAAACATGACACGTGCATCTGGTTGAAGTCGAATAGAAGTTGGAAAGTTTGTTTTTGTTTTAAACATAGATTCAGAATATAATGAATCACATTCAGTAGAATCTATTGTATCTACTGACTGGGAGATCAAAAATTTTCCATCAGGTACAGGCAACATATTGCAGATCATTCTATTGATTTGTTGGGCAGTTTCTCTATATCCGACAATATTAGTTGTATTCAGCAAAGTATTAATGGCAGGTCGTGATAAGAATTCAGAATGTCGTCTTTGTAGGATTTGCTATGTTTGAGAGGTTATGTTACTCATTCAGATTTCTTCTAACATTCTATAAAAAGGATTATCTAATTGTTGTCGTTGCGGATTTATTAAAAATAAAGGATAAAATAATCTCTAACAAGTTGCATAAAATACTGGTTCGCTAGTGACTGAAAGCAATTGTGTAAGATCACAATAACAATCACGTTTATACCTCCAAAAGGTGTAGCATTACTATTAAGGTTTGCAAAAATTTCAGATATAAAGTCAAATAGTTTTGCAGATACTATCAATATCTCTTCAATTATTATTGTATTAATAAGCCTTAGACGTTCGTTAAGCTCCTGGTTTGCATAAGCTCAGATACGAAATCCTTCATGTGAAGTTATGATCTGTAAAGTAGAATGTATGGTTGTTCCTCCTATATTTTGTGTAGCAATTCCAGTAGGTGCTAGCAAGAGATAATTTGATCCTCTTTGGTCAAGAACGTTGGTGATTAATTTTAATAGGTATGATTTACCAGTTTCTGCAGATCTAGTAATAAAGTAATATGGCTATTTGGTTCCATCATTAGGACCCATATATGAAGTGATAGTTGATAATGCATGATATTGATCTTGGGATAATTCAAGAATAGCAGTTTGGGGAAATATATAAGGAAGTATTTTAATATTTTCTAACTGTATCTTTATGATATTTTGAATATTATTAAGTATTTCATATTGTAAAGATACTAATAATCTATCTAATATTTCAGAAAATTGATTATTTAGATGAGTTACGCATGATTGATTTCTGCTTGCAACCTCATTACGTAAATTATTCAAGTAATCTGGAATCAAGGATAAAAATTTTTCATGATAAGTTCCATTTGGACCTATTCTATAATCAGACTCATTTCTGGCAAGAATCGTCAGAAGCAGTTTTTGATAAAAGAATAATTCTACATCTTCTAATTTGAAAAAATGAAGTCATACCATAATCTTTTTTGAACATTTTATAACATAATTATTAAGACTGTCTTGAAACAACTATCGTGTAGTTGAAGATCTTGAAGGAGTTATGGAGTAAAATTGAAAATATTGAGGATACGTTAGATTTTCAAATTCAGGATCCTGGGGTCGAGACATATATTTTGTAATATTATCATCATAATATGGGTTATCATCAATCTCATCTATCATGTATACAGGAAGTATAACTTGAGTACTTGAATTAGGCGGATCTGTAGTAAGAAATTTTACTGTGGCTAATGAATTACATATTTGATATCCTAGGAATAAGAACATTAATTCCATCGAGCTAAGTCTTCGAGCGATGACATGTTCTCTTAAGATATCACCTTCTAAGGTTGCCGATCGTAATTATTGAATTACGAAATAATGCATAATCATATTCGTAATTACATATTATGCATCTATGGGTTAACAATTCGTAAAGCACAATTAAAGCTTAATTTTGATTGGTTAATTATTTATATAATAAAATTTTTTAAAATCGTAATTTATTTATAAAAAAAATATATATAAATCTCTGTAATATCTTTTACTCAAAATCTCTCAAACTTTCATCTACTAAATCTTCACTTTCTAAATTTACTACTTCATCTTGATTATTATTTTCATTAAAATTTGTATTATCACTATTATTATTAAAATTAATAGCATTTAAATTCAAAGTTGCAGTAATATTTAAACCAACATCTATTACTGTTTCTAAATCTTTTTCAAGATCTATATCAACATCATATTCATCTTCATCTTCGTTTAATTCATCATTAATTGAATCAGTTAATAATCTAATCATTTCTTCAACAGACATCTTTTCTCCAGTATAATGTAACTTATTTTGCATTTCTGAAATATAAAATCTTTGAATTTTAGCTATAGCTTCAAGTCAGGATATAGATAAGTTAGTACGATGAGTACCCATAAACCAGCCTAAAGTGGAAAAAAGTCTTTCACATGAAGCACTATGTGGTGTCATACCGAAAATACGAATAGCTATTATTTCAAGAAAATTGGGAAAAGATTTGCATGTCATCCACCAAATTAAAGGAGTATCATAATTCTCAGCATAAGGTAAATCAAATGGTACTTGTTTTAAATCAAATTTGCGCATTTGAGTAACCAAAGTTTGACAATTAGCCTTATTATGCCCCATATTTTTTAGCATTTGTGTAGCAATTAAACTCAATCGACAAAAAAGTGTTAGTATTAAACCTTGCTCTAAAATTTTTAAGTTAATTAATAATAATACAATACAATATAATATAAGTATAATAAAACTTACCTCTATATTTAAGATGTAAGAAATAAGCAAGTAAATATAAGTCATCATCAAATTATTCATATCTTCTATTGAATAACTCAAATAATTGATTACGGAAGCTAATATTATAATTAATAGAAAGATTATTAATTGTAACAGCAATTTTAATCATTGTCATAAAGCAATCTGCTAAGTTTGAATTGTGTCCTTCAACTTCAAGTATAGCATCGCAGATCAGTTTTAATATATCAGCTACAATTTTACAATGTTGATAAAATTCATCCCAGCACAAAAGTTGCTTTACACTATAATTAGTAAGCAAATCAGAATAATTATCTGAAATCTATTAAAAAAAAGTTTGATTTTAATAATAAATACTAAATATTAAATAATAACAAATAAAATAAATAATATAAAATAAACTTACTATAATTAAACAAATACGTAATCTCCAAATTGATTCAAGATGATCATAACATGTATGCCATCTAGTGCTAACATATTTTTTTAATCCACCGCCTTGTACATTATTTGCTTTAATTAATTCTTGTAATTTTGCATTTGGTTGATGAGATGCATTAAAAAATCTTACAACTATACTTGCTTGATTAATTGTTCTTTTAACAAATGTCAAACCAGTAAAATCTTTGGTAATAAGATTTAATCTATGTGCAATGCAAGAAACATTTGATATATATAGAAATTTTTCAGAAATTTTCTCTTGTGCGACATGACAATTTGGCCCCCTATCAGTAACTATAGCACAGAATTTTTTAACTCCAATTTCTGTAATTATTGTTTTTATTTCATTAGCCAAAAATTCACCAGTATGAGATACTGATGAATAATCTTTAAGTCGATACAAATACTCTTTTCGATCAGGTGTTAGAATAATAAATTCCAAATTGAATTATTTTTTGCTGTAGTCCAACCATTTAACGCTAAATTTAATAAAATTTAAAAATTAAAAATTATAATTTAGTTTTTTTTAATTACATAAATAAATTTTTTAAATAAATAAATAATAAAATATAAAATAATATATATTACCAAGAGTTAAATTATCAAATTGTTGGAATGCATTTTGTTGCTTTAAAATAACCTGGGAAAGTTCATTACCAACTAATTTTCCAGCAAGTGTTTCTCGTGATGGTGGTATAAATACAGGACGAAGTTGACGAAATAATTCAATTATATATGGATTTTCTATAACACAAATGGTAATCCAGCACAAATAAATGCTTGTACTATAGTGCGTTCAATACTGTTTTGACGTTCAGGTGTCAGGTAAGTACTTTCATAAAATAAATTGAGTTTCATTTGTTTTTCATTTGTTAATTTTCGTTTCTTATCTAATGCAATAATAGATACTGGCTCTTCAATATCACCAGCCCTTTTTTTGAGATATTCAAGCTTTACAGCTATACATGAAGTCGAAATGGATCATTTCGGATATCCGAAATGGTTGAAATGGTCGAAATCATTTTTTTTTTTTTTTTTTTTTGATACTTTTACTAGGCACGCACAAGTGGTATTATATTTGGATGCATACCCTTCAACAGAAATAG